CACACACACACACACACGCAGAGCCCCTGCTGAGTCTATAGATGGACACACATGGTCATAGACACAAAAAGACACACAGGCACAAACGTACAGCTTTGTCCTTTTCTTAACAATTTGTCATCCTGCGGTAACTGCAGGGAGGTAAGGAGGGTAGCGGAAAAAATTTTCCGCCATTTGTCTTTAACAACAAGCGCACAGAAAAAACACTGCTATGCCACAGTCGGCCATTTTGTAAATCGGCGTGACGACTCAGTAGCAGTAAAGTGTCAGAACAAGTGGAGAATGAGAAAAGAAAAAGACAAACCAGGAAAGGGAGCGGATGTGGGATCAGAGCTACTTTAGCCGGAATGGATTTTATCCAGAATAAATAGATGTGATCGAGCAGACGAAGAGACAAAAGAAGAAGAGAGACAGGAAAAAGGTGTTAAGTTCTGTTCAGGATGAAAGGATAAAATGCGAGAGAGACGCTCCAGATCTTACCTCCATACAAAACTGCTTTTACGATGAATTAGTTCAGCACCACTCTGAACATGTGCATGTTGAGGTGGGCTCAGTAAAGTATCTGAATTGTCTATGTGTGTCTCTCTGGGAAAATGTGTGTGTGTAGACAAGTATGTCCTGTTAACTTACATCACTTTCTTATATATGATTATGGGTGTTACGGTGAAACATTCAGTTGCCAGTTTCTTAGGCACACATAGCTAAAACTACTGCAGTCTAATACAACAGTTCTACAACATCTCATCTCATCAAGGTTATAATGTTCAGTGTTAGTTCAAATGCTTTTAGAGAGGTGTCTATATGGTCATTTTGCTGTTGAATTGTACTGCGTTATACTGACAGGTGTTTCTATTATTTTATATCAATGAGGGTAGGCTGAATAACAGAATCACCTCTCTGTATAATGCAGTACAATTCAACAGCACCACAAAATAGAAAGATAAACACCTCTCTCTTCCTCTTTACAATTTATTACAATCTGTCTATAATTTTGTCACTGTGATTGTCCATACGAATTTTACTATGTTGGTCTTTTCTGTACACATAACATCTATTCTGTCTGTCAGACCTGGAAGAGGGATCCCTCCTTTGTCAGCGAGGTTCCTCAGGGTTTTTTTCCGGGAGTGTTTCCTTATTTGGATTGAGGGTCTAAGGATCGAGGGTGTCATATGCTGTACAGATTGTAAAGCCTCTTAAGGGAAATTTTGGGTTTTGTAATACTGGGTTATATAAATGAAACTTTACTTGACTATTAGACTGCATTTGTTTTAGCTAGGTGTACCAAATAATAATATTATAAAAAATAACAAATAATCTGTACAATCAACACACATTTAAAAAAAACTGAAACTCTATTTCTAATCAGTTTATGACCATGTAAAGGGTTATAAGATCTCTGTGTGTGTTGACTAAAAGGTGTGAGGGAGGAGTGTCGTGAGAGAGAGAGAGAGAGAGCTTTCAGTATCTCAGAGGCCAATGAAAGACTTGTTGTCTTCTGGTTTTTTAATGCCACCTGCTGGTACACACTAGTAATATAAAGTTAGAGTGGACAGAACATTTATCCCCATCCACATTTTGTTTTAGAGCAGATTCTCCTCATTGGGTTGGATGTTTTAAACAACAAAAACAATTAGGGATAGCATTCAAACAAACATTACACAATTATAAAATTACATAAAATCTTAGTTGTGCACAGCAGCATTAAGCAAGACTTACTGTTAATAAATTAATTATACATACTGTAAGCTGCACAGCATTCATTGGTCTTTCAATGTTCTATGTAGGTTTTTAACCAAAATGTAGATTCATACTGTCTGTAATGGGAATATGGTGCTCATGCTGGTATGTACTGACACCTCATGGTGCAAACTGGTTCTGCAGGTTTTAGGTCCTAAAAATATTCTGAAAAGATATTGGATTAATTAATAAATTGTTTGTTAGTGAACACTTTAAAATGATTTTGATCATATATCTTGTTTTGGAGTAAAAATTATCTCAGATTTGAGAGATGATTTGTTGATGCTTTTCTACAGTTCCAGTGTTGTTCCTGCACACTAAAGGCTGAATGAACAGATATACTGTAATACCAGTCGGAATGAAACTGACCACGAAATGTGAGTTTGCAAAAGAATCAATACATGTGTGTGTGTCTCTGTGTGTG